GACAGGACAAGGGGCAATGGGCACAAACTGAAGCAGAGGAAGTTCCAGCTGAACATGAGGAAGAACTTCTTCCCTCTGAGGGTGACGGAGCCCTGGAACAGGCTGCCCAGGGAGGCTGTGGAGTCTCCTTCTCTGGAGACATTCAAGACCCGCCTGGATGTGGTCCTGTGCAGCTTGCTGTAGGTGACCCTGCTTCGGCAGGAGGGTTGGACTAGATGACCCACAGAGGTCCCTTCCAACCCCTACTATTCTGTGATTCTGTGATATGCCAACAAGCCCTGGGCTTAGAAATCAGATTAGAAGCTGCTTTTGTGCACAGGTGTAAACCGAATTTACCAGCCAGTTCTGCTGGTGGTGTAATAGCAGGACAGGCACAGGTTCAGTCTCGGTCCCTCACAGTGCACAGAGCGGATAAAGGGAGTGAAGAAGGGCAGTAAAGGTGAAGGGGGGACTGACGGACACGACAGGGTTATTTCTTAAGACAGTGGTGGAAGATACTTGCTCACGTCAGATCTTTCAGATGTAAGAGAGTACAGAAGTGGCTCTCAAGCAAGCAAACCACACTGTGGTAAAAAGGGTGACAATACTGGAAAAGACTGCACCATTGAGATTACGTAAAGCGAAACTTTCCCTGGTACTTCTTGCCTACAAGAAGAAACACATTCATGCCTACTGTCAAAGTTAAGCTGCAATATTTTGATTCTCCTGAGCATATTTCAATATGGGTTGCACTTGCTTGTGCTGCTTTGTAATGGTGACCTTTTACCACCACGAGCAGAAGATATTTTTATATTTTATATACTGCATTAATGGGACGGCTAGTGATGAGATCAGATGTGTGTTGTCTTTCATACAGTGCAATACAGCTTAATCTCTCCCCCTACACTAGGCTTCCTTCTATTGGCGAAGACACTGGGCAACGGAGAATACAGACGGCATGCAGATTTCCTGAGAGATTTGCAGAGAGAGAAACTTAAAGCTTTTTGTTTAGTCTCAGAAGGGAAAAGAGGGAAAATATTTGTTCTGCGAGTTTGTAATACTGAGGTCTTACCCCAGCTTGGGTCCCAGGCTGTGCTGGATGTGCCAGTAATGGCAGATGCCAGGTAGGACATTACTTTCTTTCCCCCCAGTGCTTTCCATTGGGTGTCCACACCTACACCACCTGCACTGGACTTTTCTACCTTGGGTCACTCTAAGAACATACTACATGGAACATATTTGTAAGAGCTTCTCAGAATCGTCACTTGTGCAAATGAGTTCTTCTGTCAGTTAGTTGAAGAGTAACAGTCAGTTATCCATAGTTCTACAGGCTGCACCAATTCCCAGGTGGCTCAAATGAGGCTTCTGAGAGAGGCTGGTTGTGGCAGGAGAGGGGCCAGCAGCCAGCACGCTCTCCTTTCTCAGCACTGGTGATACGCTCCCCTCGCCTCACCCCAATTGAGGGACGGGAGCATGCTAAGCCTGCAAAGAAAGCTTCACTCTCCTTGGTCCCCAGCACTAAGCTTCTCTGTCAGCCTCTCCACAGAGAGGGATCCCAAAAAAGCAAGAACAGATTGAGCTTTTTTGCCGTAACTCTTGCCAGCACACACATTCTTCAGTTAAATCACATTTTAGATCCAGACAACAAATAGAATACTACACGCAGCTCAAAGACCTACAGCGACAAATGCACCGACAGCTCAGACGAGCAATAATGCTCAACAACAACGGGTAGGAGCTTCTTACCACGGAGCGTAGAATTTAATAAAAGTGATCCCCCTAGCAATGGTTGCATCAAAATCTTTTTCAGAGAGAGAGAGCACTGCTGCCTGTTGAAAAAAAAAAAAAAAAAAAAAAA